TTACTATTGTATGTTACTAAATGATATACCACATGTTTGGCACAGGTTAGTTGCTAATCTAGAGATGAATAGCTATAATTAACTTGATGATCGAATTATAAATGTACAATTGAATTAGTCGCTTTTTATGCAAAATATTGTCAAGCTAGCTCCACTTATAAAGCCTTGCATGATCCTTGGAGTCACTTTATTTTTAGTTTATGACGAGTAAGTCTAGCTGAGTACCTTCTCGTACTCAGGGTTTTATTTTCCATTGTTGCAGATGGTACAGTTTATCATGGCTATTGTAAGAACTGCTTCTGTCCCACCGTGGACGAGGAGTAAGCCCTAGGGAAGCATCTCTTATTAATCCCTCTCTTATGCTTTTGTGGAAGTGTGATCGTGAGCTGGAACTATATTTAAACAATGTTGCAGATGTTGGTTTCAAACTTTTAATTTGCTTCCGCTACTATCTTACTTGAAAGTGGTTTGTAATAACTTTAATTCGTACTCTAATGGATGAACTGTATTTGTGAACTTTATGTAACGTGTGACATGTATGTTGAATCATGTATGATCTTGGTTGTATGTTGGTTGAATCGAGACCCTTCGCTGTACTCGACGGACTACTGGGTTTATATGGGCTCAAGTATGACAGTGCGACCGCTTACGGGTTGCCATTGTATTTGTACTCTTATAAATTAGTCGATTCTGCTATAGTAGCCATAGTTTATGCAGGCTAATTTTGCTTCTTTTCTTCCTGTTGTGGATGAAAACATGATACTATATAAGTAGTTTTCATCTACCGAACAACTACACCGATAATCTGGAGGCACTCCTAAGGAAGAACCAGTCCCGTACCGTTTCTTCTGCTACTCCATCGATAGTTGAACCAGTCACCCCCGTACCATCCGCTACTACCAAAATGGACAAGTCACTCCGCGACTACTCCACCCCCGCTGTTGCCAACGTGCCTGTTGGGCCCGCTGTCAACACGGGTAACGGAAATTTCGAGCTACGCACTAGACTCATTACGATGGTGCAGGCAAACCAATTCTATAGTTTGCCAAGCGAGGATGCAAGTGCACATGGGTACTGGTCTATAAGGACCTCCTTGGCGCCCTCCATGGGCTAGAAAGACCTGGCCGACTGCTTGGGGTCGGGCGCTTCTTCGACGATCTCCTCCCAAATGGCCATGAGCTCTCTAGAGGCGACAATCACCGCGGTGTGCTTTGTAGCACTCGACCTCGCACTCGTAGGCACGCTGAAAGGAGGTGCCGACGATAATGACCCCGCGTGGACCCGACATCTTCAACTTCAGATAGGTGTAGTTGGGGATGGCCACGAACTTCACGTAGCATGGTCGTCCTATGATGGCGTGGTAGGTCCCGTGGAACCTGACCACCTCAAAGGTAAGGGTCTCCATCCTATAATTGGTCAGATTCCTGAAGGTGATGGGCAGATTGATCTGTCCGAGCGACATGGTCTGCTTTCCAGGCACGATGCCGTGGAAAGGCGCCCCGGTCGGCCGAATGCATGATCGATTGATGCCCATGGCATCGAGCGTCTTAGCGTACATGATGTTGAGGCCACTGCCTCCATCCATTAGCACCTTGGTGAGCCACTTCATGCCGACAATCCGGCTATAGGACGCTTTCTGGGTGGTCAGTCCGATCAAAGGTGATGGCGGACTCGACCATCGAAGGATGGAAGGCATGGTCGGCTTGGCCGTATAGACCTCACGACGTGTAAGCTTTTGGTGGTGCTTGGAGTCATAGGCCGCTGACCCCCCGAAGATCATGAGGCAGCCATCCAGCGTTGAAAAGTCGCCGTCCTTCCACTCGGCGGCGTCTACCGTTGGCTTGGGCTCCTTCCTATGCTCCCCCTTGTTGGAGCCACCGGACAGGAACCGCTTCATGAGGGCGCAATCTTTGTATAGGTGCTTGATGGGAAAGGCATGGTTTGGGCATGGCCCTTCGAGCTGCTTCTCGAAGTGGTCTAGGGTACCCTCAGCGGGCTTCTTACCCCCCTTGAGGTCAGCAGTAGCCATGAGCGAGCCCTTGTACCGCTGCTTGTTCTTCTTCTTGTTGGGGCTATTAGAGGCACCTTCGCCGGTGTCCTCGTCCCGCTTCACCTTGCCCTTAAGGTGGTCAAAAATCGCTCTGATCGCTGCACCGAGGGCACACGCTGACTGGCATCGAGCTCACATCGCCGAGAGAGCGAGCTCTTCGCCTGCTGCACCGCCGCGCGCTTGAGCAGCGTATGGATCTCGCGATGGGCCCGACGATCCTTAGGTGTCGCGGGCTCTAGGAGCCCTCGGAGCAAAGCCACCGCTTGCCCGGGCGAAGTGTGGGAGGGCTCCATCGTCTTCGATGATCCTCCGGTTCACGTCGTGGGCCATGGCTCGCGCACGTCCACTGTCTTCGTGGCGCTCGATCTCTTGCTCGAGCTCCACACACTCCTACTCTAGCTGGAATCATGCATCCTCGAGTTCCCTATGCCGCGCCCTTAGCTGCTCCATCTGCAGGTGAGGCGGGGCCCCCGCATCTTCCTTGACCTCATCGTCAAGGTCGTTTGGTGGGGTAGCCCCTCCCTCATGGACGCTTTCGACGTGTCCCTCGGGGGTACATGCCATAAAACATTCTCGCGAGGGGTGATGGCTCCCCCTGCTGGAGTCAGAGTCGGAGAGCGACTCTGAATCTCCCGCGAGAAGGTCGTGAAAAGATTCTACGACGTATTCGGTCATCCCCATGAACTCATCATTTGTAGGGGATGGGTGCATGCACTATGCCACGGGGTGGCCAACGGTCCCCGCAGCATTGCGCAGACCGAACGGGAACGCTGCCGGGGCGCTCCAGATGAGGTATTCTGGGGAGAGCGGTTCCCCTCCGGCAAGCTGCGTAATGATGTTGGTGAATGAGAAGGTAAGGCAACGTAGGTCCGTCCAGGACGGTCGGGGTCCTAGGCAGGCGTCGAGGTGGCGCTCTAGCCTCCGGTAATCGAAGTCGAGGAGCTAGTTGCTCTCGGGGGCACAGGCCTCCGACGCATGCAGCTGCAGCTCCTAAAGTGCCTCGACGATCGCGTCAAGGCCGGTGGAGTGGAGAGGCTGGACGGCGGCAGGAGCCTACACCAACTCTTCCTCCATCGTGACGATGAAGTCTAGGTTCTCGAAACGCACGTGCGCGCCCGGGACCCAGCTGACGCCGTGACTAGCCATCCGAGGCCTGATGTGGACGTCGAGACCCGCAAAAAGGCCCTACCTGGTGCGCCAACTGTCGATGTTTTGGATCACCGGCTAGTAAATTTGTATCTACGCGTCTGGCCCGGATGGTGTGCTCGGAGGACACAAGGATTTATACTGGTTCGGGCGGAATGTCCCTACGTCCAGTCTGTTGCTGCTCGTGTTACCGGCACTAGTTTGTAGCATGGGTTACAAACGGGCGAGAGGGGGAGCGGATCCCAGGTCTCTGGTGGAAGGATTAAAGAGTGCTGAGAGTTTGTTCAGCTATGCGCTCGTGGCCCCTCTTGGGGCGTCCTGCTTTCTATTTTATAGGTGAAGGGGAAGACGCAGGTTACAGAGAGAGAAAAGGAGAAAAGTGAGGGAGAAGAAGGCCTCCAGGGCCGCCACGTCCTTCTTCTCCTTCATGCAGGTCCCGCTGACGTTGTAGATGGTGACGGGGATGGTTCCGCGTCGGGCTCCTATTCACCACTGGTGCCATGCCTCGACGTCATCAGCTGGTCGTGGCGTTCCATCCCGTCTCGACGGACGGCGTGGTGAACCGACATGCCTATCAGCGGCCGTACGGGGAGTAGGCGGCACAGCGACCACGCACCCCGTCACTGTTGGCGATGTGAACCCCCGGGCGTGGCCTGACGTGGCCACGGGTCATGTTGAGACATGCTCGCTTTCTTTCCGGTGTCAGAAGTTTGACCCTGGGATCATACCCTTAGACCCGTAGTGGTTTGGAGGCGGTATGGATCCCCGTCGGGCGAGACAGAGCCCACGCCCTTGGGGTCGGGGCGGGACAGAGTCCGTGCCCTCAGGGTCGGGCGGGACGGCTCCTGTACCTCGGGGTCGGGCGACACGGGGCCCGTGCCCGAGGGGTCGGGCGAGACGAAACCCGTGCCCTCAGGGTTGGGCGGGACGGCTCCCGTACCCTCAAGGTCAGGCGACACGAGGCCCATGCCCGAGGGATCTGGCGTGGCGGAAACCGTCACTTTGGGGTCGGTCTAGACTGAAATACGTCCTCAATTATCTAGACGAGTTTGTCGTCCGCGGTCTTTAGATCTCTTATTCGGGATATCCCTAATACTGATACCCGATATAATCCTCTAGGGAAAATTGGCCTGGACCGGTTTATTAGATACTAGCCTGAACCGTTCGTAGCATGAATTCTCCCAAGTTGACTAATAAATTTAGTGTCACTTGTAGGCTTTGTATGGCTAGTACTTAGAATAGGACTTATACTGTTCAGGCAATATGTCATAACATCCGGTTCAGGTGGTGTTCAATCGTGCCCTGCATTAAGTTTATAAAAACATTATCAATATTTGTACATCAAATAAGTTTATATAAAAATATAATCTATGGTTTTACCTAATGATACTTATTACACATTATAAATATTAATATATGTTCATATATATATATTTATAAGACTTGATTGATATTGATTCTCTCCTTTCGTTTCGTATTAAACGACGTTTTAGAATTTATCACAAAAATCAACATTAAAGCTAAAAAAGCAAAATGTCTCTTAAAGAGCATATAGATGTATTATGAAAAGAGAAATAAGAGAAATGTGTATTAAAAATATACATTAAAAAACGACAGGACCAAATAATTTAGAACACAATGTAAATACTATATGATCGTTTATTTCTGAAACGGAGGGACTATGTAAAAGAAGACATTTCTTTTTAACGGAGGGAGCCGAGCACTCCACATCCATAGCTGCACTAATTTCAAATCTATGGAGTACGTCGTGTTCCCCCTCAAGTCCTCAACATCGTGCAGCAGATCATCTCAAGTTCTCGAACCTCTCCTGCCTCAGTCTCGTAACCGACGGCGGTGCGTACGTCGAGCCATCGTGCCGCCTCGCTCCTGCGCTCGCGGCCGCCGCGCGCTGCTGCTCCTGCTGCAAGTCGCGTCTCACGGACCAGAGCAATTCGGCGCAGCGCCGCATATCTGGCCGCGCGGCGCGATCCGGAGCCGTGCACTCGGCCGCCAGCGCCATCACCTTCTCCACAGCTGCCACGACAGCGCTGGTCCGCCGCATCCGGGGGTCCATCACCACCACTGCGAAGCCCTCCCTGCACTTGCGCAGCGCCTGCGCCAGCACGGGGTAATTTCGTCAAACACCTCACGTGCGGTACATTTCAGTATCAGAAGCGCTGGTTTTGTTTGGGTGTGCTTGCTTTACCCATTCGGTGGTCAGGCGTTGGTGTCGCCCGCGCCCGCGGCCACGCTCGATAGGGCGTCGGCCGGTGATGAACTCGACGAGGAGGACGCCGAAGGAGTAGACGTCGCTGCGGTCGGTGAGCTGGCTTGTGCGCAGGTACTCAGGGTCCACGTATCCGGCCGTCCCCTTTACTAGCGTTGACACGTGGGTCGCTTCAGGGTTTTCAGGGGCTAGGCGTGCGAAGCCAAAATCGGCAACCTTTGCTCGCAGTTGCTCTGTTAGGAGAATGTTGGACGACTTGATATCACGGTGGATGATCGGATCATCTGCTTCCCATTGTAGGAAAATATTTGTCAGACATAAGGATGCTGAAGGTTTGGTATCCGCGGTAGATGTCAATACATAGATATTTGGGTGGCTATCATACAAAATTCTGGTCATGGATGTTCTGAGATGGTGATTTTCATGCTGACTGTATCATCTAGGGATCTGATGTGTGATGTATTAGCATTCAGGACCATGATCAAATATGCACTTGTGGGGTTATGCCAAATATGACTATCTTATGCATCTATGTTTGGGGGCTGACTCAAATTTTCATATAGAAATGGAGTGTGGGTACCTGTATAACCATGTAAGTAGGCAATGGCATGAACTATGTCAATAGCGATGTTGAGACGCTGTGCAAATTCCAATGGTTCCCCTTTTGACCCTGCATAGTGGAAAAGTTCGTTAAGTTCCCTTTAATCCAATGGAAAATGAAGATTTATAGCATTACATTCTACAACATAATTTGATTCCAAAAATCAAGATTGGAACTGGGAACAAAAATGAAACATGGTTCAAACATGCAAAAAAGAAAACCATAGGCTTAAGCTGAATAGCATGCACATGTTTTTACATCTCTTTCAGTAGATTGACATTTAGGATATCACAGGTGACTTGTCATATTTATAAACAATACTTCAATGCATTTAACTTCATCCAGTTATACTATCTTGGTGAGTGGTGACTTACAAAATTCGTGGATTCTATAACTTTTACCATCTTGACAATATTGCTACACTACCACAAAAAATGTAGTAGTATGTGTTTAAGCTTGTCCATTGCACATGTTTGACGTACCATCCAAGTGTTGACGGAGTGTTCCATTACTGACGTACTCAACCAGAATTAGGCGTTCATCCTCGTATTCCACGTACCCAAGAAACTTTACCAAGTTCAAATGCTCGACCTTTGACAGCATCTGGATCTCACTTCTGAACTCTGCAGATAGATGCCCACCATGCATCTGCCAAATCCAGATGTTGCATGAATTTTTTTTTCTTGATTTGACTGCTGCAACTCGGTGTAGTAAATATGTACAACGTTTCTTCTGTTGAAAGAATATTCACCTACAAACCTTAGTAGCCCTCTTTACAGCTATGATGGATCCATCCCTGAGCTTCGCCTTATACACAGTGCCAAAATTACCTAACCCAATTTTGTTTTGTTCACTAAAGTTTGAAGTAGCCTGGCAAATTTCCTGAAACGAGAACTGTTCTTGCCAGGACTTTGTTTGGCTGCTATCACCTCTCTGCCTGGATATATTATGTATATTATTGCTTGTGCTACTTGTCGATGAAATTCTGGAGACTGCAGGAAACAATTGGAAACCATCTTAATTGGACTCACCTTTGATTTAACAGTTGAGCAGTTTGATTAAGAACACATCCTCACAAAGTATATTCGTCATTGAGCAGCTATGTATGTCTTGTTTTGGACCACATATGGCCATATGGGTACTGGTGAGTTTTGTAACTTGAACGTAAAACTTCATGATTGACCACAAGCATGTCAATAGAAATGTCAGTTGAAGAGCAATGCTAACTTGAACGAGTTTGAATTCTGATTAGCTTATTAGGTGAAAACTGGAAACAGGAAGTGGCAGTGAAAACTCAGATTGTAGATCGGGAGTCTGAGTAAGCTCAAATTCACTGGTAGGTTGACTAAACATCAGGCTGTATCATGATATTTGTAACGCATAAGTTGAAGGTCGGTTAGGATGGATTCCTTATCGATTATTGCTGATTTATGCCACAATTTTGCATTACCATGATTAAAATCGTTTCTTCTATAGAATCTTAAAAGACCTGATGTGCCTAATTTGACGAGGTAAATATTCGCGTCTCCTTTCTAATGCAAAAGTCGTTTCAGGACAAGCTAGTAAGTAGTAACTAAGATAGTTACACAGGCAGCATCTCAGCTTCTATATGTTAGATGAATGAAGGAAGGTGAGCTTACTGGGACTAGCAGACACATCCTGGCGCTCAATTGGAGGATTCTCATGGGCTTCCTTGATTTCAGATCGAGGAGTGAAGCACTTTGCCCATGACCCTAAAATTGCAGTAACTCTTTTCCGGAATGATATTGAGCTCCTGGCCTTCCTGTTGACCATACGGGAACGAGGTGTATAGGTAGAAGTCCAAGAGAACCCAGGATCTGACTGAACCTCACTGTTGAAGCCAGAGAAACCTCCATGGCCGGTTGGGGATGTCCGGTTGCGAGCTGCCTGCATGGCTGATGGGATTCGAAGATGGGACGAACAGCTGCTCTCGCATAATCAGGTACCATGTTCTTCTGATTCTTAGCTTTTGTAGACTCGGAGGCGATGGAGGATGGACTGATTCAAATTTGACTGGGTGCATACATCTTTATTATCATAAAAAGGTGGCTGAAATGGGTTTTTCAGGTCAAGCCAATGGGGTTAGGAGTAAATGTACGTATGACAACTACTGTTTACAATAATTTAATTGGTTGGGGATGTCACAGTAGGTATATGTTTACAATTCCACTGCCAGAGAGGAAATGGACCATGCCATCGTCCTTTGGCCTGTCCTCTGAAGCGTTCTCTTCTTTATGTCAAACTGTTGAGTGCTGAGGTCAATGGATAGGGGTGCAAGTCTCTCGGGTTATTGGTCCTTCCGGAACTTGATAAAATGAACTGGAATGGTTCCGGAATTTGATAAAATGAACTAGAATGGTTCCGGAACTTGATAAAATAAACTGCACTGCAGTGGCATGCCACCTAATTAATTTAGCATTTAGGTGGAGAAAAGAACTAAGTTAGCAGATCCATAAAGCACCATTGGGTGTCCACTTACATCCTTATTAGTAGCCCTCCAAGAATATTTCCTTCTAAATCCTGAATCTCTACAGACATCGATGTATGGTATGCTGACATTCTCAATACTGAATAGTATTGCATTTGAAGTTTTCAATTTTTTCATCAATGTAAAGACCCTTCTATGCTCCCCATCAAGGATTTCCTTGTTTTGCTGCATTCATTATATATACTTAAAAGAAGGGAAATTGACAGTAATTAAAAGGTCACAAGTTATAACAATTTTAAAAAGGCCACAACTTTCCGTAGCATTTACAGCCAAATTCCCCATGTTTTTCAAACCCATGCTCCCTTAATGGTTGGGATTCCCATTTTCTAACTAGCCTGCAAATCAGCTTCAGTTCTCTGCTACTTTCGGCGCCATTAATGGTTGGCATCCTGCCCTGTTATTTATTCTATGTTACATCATCAGGGACTATCCCTCCAAGAAAATCTAAAACTATCTATAAAGACGGTTCCATGTATTCATCGCTGATATTCGACTTCCAAGATAAACTCACTGTACAGTTGTAACTAAAGTTCTTCATCTTCAGGTGCAAATAACTTTCTTGGCGGTAAAATACTGTCCTGAATCGGCATTCTGTGTTTTAAGGATAGAAAAACCGCAGAGTTCCTCTGAGTTGCTAGCCAGTGCCATCAAAATCAACACGCTCTCCAGTAGCAAAGATATCCCAGAAAAGAGCACTGCTGAAGTATAAAAGCGACGTCAATATCAAAAATCCACGGAAAGAGCCCATCCGATCAACAAAAAATCCTGCTCCAATAGTTCCTAGAATGGCAGCAAATGTCCCAGCTGTATTTGACATTCCTATCACAGCACAATTGTAGATTAAAGTTGGTTAATGCAATAAAATGGAAATCTATAGCTAACACAAGGAACATATTTACTATTTAGTACCGTGTAGGACTCCAGCATATTGTGGGGCAATCTCCTGATAAGTTTTAAAAATGATATATATCAGATGGGGGAAAAAGAAGATCCAAAATGAGAAGAATGAGTGTCTGTTCCATCACTGAACTAAAGTACCTGTAGATTTACTAAGAAACCTGAGTGGCCGAAGGATTTCAAACCAACAGCAATTGTAAGCCAGGCTGAAGCAATGATTGGACTCTTTGCTGCATTCAGACAGAGCAAAGCAATACCTGGCCCCAGAAAGCCAATTGACTGCAGAATGAAAAGTCAATAGTCAGGAAGAAAAGTTAATTCAACAGGAAGTGTACACTTGAAATGATAAAACCAAAAATAAGTCAATATTGATGAAAGTAAACTGCAACAGGAAGTGTACACTTAACATGTTTGGTTTTTGTATCTTATGATTAATAGATCACAGCATATCAGGAAGCATGTCACTTTTGGTAAGAGTGTGGAGAGGTGCACTAGATCATTTTATGAATAAAACAAACGAAAACTTTCCTGACTGTTATGCTACTATTTTTCTTGAAGCAACATACCTGCATTATCTTCCGTGTTAAAGTAACGTTTGTACCATTTCTAATAAGCATGTCTGATACAACACCAGCCACATAGCCTAAAACTGCCATCATCACCCAAGGGAGTGCACTGAACCAAGCAGCTTCTCTCAGATTGACATGATATATCTGATCACCACAAAAGCAATATCAAGTTGAATACTGGGAAAAGTAATTTATATTCAAAGAACATTGAAGCAGAGTGAAGGCTTACTGTTTTGAAATAGACTGGCATCCATGAAAGGATAACAAAATAACCCTGAAAAAAATCATGAGACAAAAAATATTATTCCCTAAAATGTGTCTTTCTGTGGCACAATCTTACAAAGAATTGATGAAAACTTAGATGTTAAGTTACCCAGCTATGCATGGCGTTTGCACAAATCAAAGCCCATGTTGGCCATTTGGAAAGCAGTTTACTGAAAGGGGGAACCTTTTTTGTTTTTTCACTTCCAATTTGAGGTTTCACCAATTTCTGGCCTTTGGTTATATACTCCAGTTCATATGCTGATATCTGTGCATGTTCACCTGGTGTGCCAGATATAGCCGGTATCCACACCAACACCCACAGAAATCCGAATAATCCAAATATCACAAAAGGTCCAAAGATTCCAGTTCGTGACATGATAATTGGGGAAAGAAGTAACCCAATGGCATTGCCAAGCTGAAAGCCAGCCATTGCAATACCCACAGCACTAGATCTCTCTGTGCGAGGAAACCACCTGTAATAAAAGGGCCAATGCAAACACTTGCATAAATCTTAGCAGAAATCCCCACAGCCAAACAACAATACGTTTTTGTGGGGAAAAAAGTTGGAGATGAAGTAATCAAAAGGAATACTGTTACAAAGGTAGATACCTCAACACCATATTGTTCATGCTTGGGAGTGCCACTCCTTCTGCAATACCCAGCAGGACTCTGGTAAAGAGAAACAACCAGATAGATCGACCAGCTGCCCAAGGAGACAGGAATGTAGCCAAGGACCATAAGGCTACACCGTAAGCCATGACTCGTTTTCCACCATAGTAGTCAACAAGCGCTCCACCAATTATCGGCGACATCAGATATCCCCAAAGAAAGGATGACTGTTTGCAGTGCCAGCAACAAAATGGCATCAGGATATTCATCAAACAAGATGGGCAAACTCATGCCCTTACTTTCTTATGTGTGATTTTTCGTAATTTACTTTACTACAGCAGCCTGAGTGAGAAATAAGCAGGAAATATGAGTGCTACACAGCTTTCAGTGAAAATTCAAACCTTATCAACTATATTTAGTATTTTGCTATGTTTGTAGAGCAAATGAACTAATATGACATTGCAGACATGTCATTTCGAGACTCGAGCCATGTAAGAGCGCTTTCACTTAAAATTAACCATTTCAATCAATTATTCTAACATCACATCATCAAAACGGTGATTACTGCAATTGAGCACTCTGAAAACCAGACACTTCAATGAGAATGGCTAGTCAGTAGCCACTAGCGCAGACGAAGCAAACAAAATTGCACAGAATAACAGAAAACTGGGAACCTGCACGACGCCGGCGAATGACGGGGTCCACCCGTACGCCTGCGAGAGAGGGACGATGGCGACGGACATGACGACGCGGTCGGCGTTGCAGAGCGCGAGGGCTAGCCCCAGCATCGCCGCCACCTTCACCCTCTCCGACGTCACGAACTCCGCCACCGCAGCCTCCTGAGCCTCGCCTCTTGCGGCCTCCGAAACCCCTGGAGGTGTTGGAGCACGAGGGGGCCAGGCTGGAGCCCAGAACAGCTGGGGAGAAGGCATGAAGCGGCCATGGAGGCGGTGGGGCCGCCATGGAGGCAGAGGCGACACTACGGCGTGCGCGTGGGCGGGAGGTGGGCACCGGCTGCGGCGGCTGGAGAGGACGGGAGGGGCCGGAGGCGGCCGGGCCAAGGGGAGCAGTTGGCCGGGAGGCGTCATGGTTTCTCTTCTCCGTCGCGGAGTCACGGGGCAAGGGGGAGCCGCGGAGTGGAAGCGATCCTGGCATCCTGCTGAAGTGGGTTGGTGGGAGTGACGTCTCTGGTGCGCGGGCCTTGGTGACTTCTATACCCCGGCTGAAATAAAGGCCTCTAGGATTACTGGATTAGGGCCCAATGAAACTTACTCTTTTCTTCATTTTCGTTGGTTTCCTTTTTATTTCTATTCAAAACACAGATAAGTGTTCCTTACATATATTTTTTTTTTTTTTTTTCAAATCACACTCCTATGGATACACGTACACGCCATATTCCTATAACCATCTTTCAAAGACTAAGCCAACAGATATCAAGTCATCTCACTATTAACGAGCACGCCGTCCCGTGTATCACTGAAGGAATAGTGCTGTTAAAATCCTATAATAAATTTAGAAAAATACGAGTACACGTATCAAGTCAAGGATTTGAACTCGGATAAAATAGATAGGTTCCACCATATATAAGAAACATAACTACCTAAGTTATGCTCGAATTTTGTTTATAAATTTCATTTTTTTTACATGCATTCGAACTATTCAAGAAACTAATTCAACATTTTTTAAAAGGACAAACTCGTTAATTTGTGAAACCTGGTTCAACAACTAGCAAGGTATAAACATTTGTCAAAATCATGTTTCATAATTTTTAGGACTGGTAAATATGTTCGTGTGTTGCTATTGTAACGGGAGATTTGTGCAATTTATAATGGACAACGAGTTGTGATTGGTGCCTTTATATAAAGTGAGATACAATAAATTTGATAAATTTGTCTTGTCGGAACAAATTGAATCATGTATGTTGCATGTATTGTTCATCTAAACGTTCGTTTAACCTATTTAAACACTGTGCAAACGCTACATGGTGATAGACTATTTCATTTAATCATCAATTTATCCAGTTTAATTGACCGTTTAGACTATTTAATGCACCATTTAATCCGAATAATAGCTAAACGGTTGGTGAACAATTATTTACTGTTTAGGCCCTGTTTGGATGCAAAATATTTTTGAAGTATTGGAGAAATACTATGGTTTTATAAAATACTTTGGTTTTTAAAGGCTACTCGGTGTTTGGATGCAACGAATCTTGTAGTCTCTAAAACCATGATTTTGTCAAAATTATAGTCTTTTTAGAGTTTTAGAAACTTCCTTCATGACCTCTTTTTTCTAAATCAGGGTTTTTATGTCTCTTTGGCTTATGAAATAATAATTTTGTGATACTACAATTTTCAAAAACCGCATTACCCAACTAGGTCCTTATTTTTTAGAAAACCATTGGCTGCAGCCGAGTCCACGATGTGTGCGGTCGACAACAGTCCAAGCGTCCAGCTGGCCGTGAGCATCTTCATCTTAAGTCTAGAGTAAAACTAAAAATATACTCTCTCCATCGTAAATTATAAAACATTTTGATTTTTTAGATGCATAGGTTCTTATTGGTTGCCTGTATACAGGCTTATGTAGTGCAATTTGCCCATATTTGGTTACTTGCAATGGCTCTTATGCAGGCTTAGTTAGTAAGCGTATCTCGGTTGGTTAGGCTTCCTAGCTTATTACTATGCAAGGTAAATCTGTCAGGGAGACTAGTAGAGAAACGACTTTTGATCCACTTTAAAATTTGGCTTTAGTTCCGGTATTTTTCATTCCCGGGACTAGAGAAACATTTAGTCCCGGTTGGTAGCTTCAACCGGGACTAAATGTCCCTACCCAGCGGCTACTGCGGCAGGCTTTTGCTGCAGGGGACCTTTAGTCCCGGTTAAAGCTACCAACCGAGACTAAAGATTAACTTTTACTTCCGGTTAGTCTCTCCAACCGAGAGTAAAAGTCTACTCCCGACCAGCAGTTCGTTCATCTTAATTAAACCCAAACCATCGACAGCAGCATCACTACAGCAGTACAGCGCGTCGCCCAGTTGCATTTGGGTCTCGGGGAATCTCACTCGCTGTACAAGTTGCATTTTCAATGCGTACGTACCCTCTGTCGTGACAGGCCAGCTCTAGTATATCTTCATCTCTTCTCACCGAACAGCACATTGCAACGTTTTATAAGCAATTGAAGATCACTGCTTCTAAACGTACCAGTATACGATACGGACCAGGACCAGCCATGGCAGGAGGATACTACTGTTGCTTCTGAACAACACCACAGAGGCCAGAGGCCAGATGCCAGACCCACCCACCAGCAATCCAGCATCATGTGTCTGTCACCAGACGCATCTAGTGGGCCACAGAAGGTAAGAAAGCGGCCCATGATTTCCAAGCGAATGAATGTGGCCGGCCTATTACTGTACTGAGTCTGAGCCGAATGGTAAGGTGAGGAGTTGTTCGTTGCGCTGCTGCTACTGCTGCTGCTGCGAGAAGATAGCACCACATCGGTAGCGTAAAGAGGAGGCGGAGCACAGACTGGCTACATAACAAGGGCCAGTTGCACCGGTTCAAGGCGCGCAGCTACGTGGTGAGCACAAAGCGAATTATTCTTTCGCCTTTTACTGAAGAATACCATGTGCACGCCACAATAAGCAGCAGACACTAATTTTTGGAGGGTGCCATCTTTATAAGGAGGTGCCCAACAAATTAAATTCAAAACAAAATATTTATATTATTAAATTAATAAATATGTTTAGTAAATTCAAAGTTCTCTTTAAATATGTTAATAAATTCAAAATTTTGCATTAAATATTATTAGTAGCGTAGAATGCGTATTCGAAAATCAAAACGAATCATCAATTAAAAATAGAAAAAAAAAGAAAATCTTTAGTCTGAGTTGATAATACCAACCGGGCCGGCCCACGTGGCCAGGCCGGGAGGCCTCTTTAGCCCCGGTTGGTACCAATCGGGGATGGACCTTTACTGTTTCTTACTGTTAAGCTTGTTGGTTTCAAACCAAATTTAAACCAAACCAAAACCAATGTTGTTTTCCTCTCACAAAAATCAAGACTACCAAATTTAAACCAAAGACCAAGACCAACCAAATAACGGGCCCTTAGTCCTGGGTGAGAAACCGGGACTAAAGAAGGGGGGCCTTTAGTTCCGGATTCGTGCTCCCGGTTGGGAAACCGGGACTGAAGGGGTTTCCCAACCGGGAGTACAGGTTGTTTCTGTACTAGTGGGACCACCGATAGTCGGGTCAGGCGAGGTAGATTTGTCAGGGGAGCAGCGCGTGTTGTGGTACCGGTGCGTCTCCTCCGATGAGATGCCTCGATCACGGCTCGTCGTCTCGGCGACTCGAGCATAGTTTCTCTCCTACACGCGAACCTCCTGAGTTCCGACAACTCCCGATGTGCATAACTCAATCGGCCCTCAAAAGTAGAGTGAGCCCCTCAAATAAAAAGTATTGGCCCTGATCTGGGAGCTCCTGTTAGAGTTGCTCTAATAAGATAAATAAAATTGAAATCTGACAAGCGATTAGGAGAAAAATTAAGGAAAGAAAACTCGAGGTGACATTGCTTTCACGTGATTAAATGAAGGAAAGAAACGAACATGATTTGGCATCCACGCAATTAAAGAAGGGAAGAAACGATGGAACATGGTTTTACGAAGACATGATGATAAACAATTAAAATAGGCAACATGAGAGTACTATCTAAGAGACGCCACTAGTGACTGATCAAATGATTGATCAAAGGTGACGGTCATAAGCCAATCACCTTTTGCAAATGGAACAGTTATAGATGAAGTAGGCCAATTTTCTTAGACTCACTCACCGAATCTTCATGTGATGAGTCATTTGAATAAAAATCGTTTTCTATATCATTTCACGCTCCAATATTTTTTTTATATTGCGTATGTACTTTAGGGGGTTAATTCTGCTCTCCATCTTTAGACTAGTAAGAATTTTGAAATATAAGACAAAAATATTTGGAGATCTAATTTAAAAACTTATTGAATAAAAAAAATCTCTCTTCTTGTCAATAAGGAAGTACTATCAAAAAGGAAGGATATAAAGAGGCTTTTGCAATTGCTCTTGTATCAACTTAAAAGGATATCACGGATGCATGCAAAAAATAACTGCCAAATCTAGAAGATATATTATCTGTAGAAGAAAAGGAACCGAAGATAGATGTGTTTTTGACAACATTCTTAACTTATCTAAAATTTTTAGGAAGTTATTTATTTTGGTACAGAGCAAGTGTATTCCTGTGCCTTAGGCAGTTAAGGCTCAGCGCGAATGAATCCTCTTCTCCACGCGTCCGATGTTCACGCCGTTTTATCTGAAAAGGCAGTTCAGAGCATAAGACGACACCCCCATTTTCTCCGTCATCTCTCACTTCCGATTTTCTATCGCCGAATGGTTCGTGCTCCTCTAACCTCCTGGAAACCGTTATAAGACCTAGAGTAAAGGCTAGAGAGAGAGAGAGAGGAGGAGGGAGGATCAATGTCGACACCGCCGCCGTCGCCGTCCAACGTAGGGCACGGGGCCGAGGAGGAGAGGGGTAAGGGGGCTGAAGAGGAGACGGGTAAGGCCACGAAGACGGTGAAGGCCGAGGCGGGCGAGGACGGTGGTGCCCTCATCAACATCAAGGTGCACAGCCAGACCGCGGACGACGTCTTCTTCCGCATGCATCAAGCGCGACGTGAAGCTGCGGCGGCTCATGGACATGTACTGCGGCAAGCACTCGCTCCACCCCAAGGCCGTCCTGTTCCTAGACCCTGACGGCCGCCCCATCCGGCCCAACCAGGCGCCCGACGAGGTCGGCCTCGACGACGGCGACGCGATCGATATAATGCTCATGCAGGCAGGCGGCGCTGCCCGCGCGAGCCAGAGTCTGCGTGAGAGCCGAGGCTTCTTCGGGTTTGAATGTTTGATCCGGCACTAGTTTGTCAGTTTGTTCTTTATTGGGTTTCTTCTCTTATGATTATGACTTGTTTGGAATTTTGGATTCCTATGCGTCGTTGGTTGCTGAACTGTGAATCGTCATCGTGCGGAAAATTTATTGAGTAGTTTCTCAGATCGTGACTTCACTGATTGTTTACGTGGATCCTGAACTCGTAGCAGTTAGGGTTTCACTTGATATTGTGAAACTAGTTCATTAGAGGCCTGATAGTGCTTATTCCGATTGGGATGTAGTCCAAACTCCATTCAGGCCCTTTCACATTTTTTTTCTTTTATATCACGATCAATTCAGGCCTTAGCCGAACCAATTTTCTGCGAGGCCCAAGTCAAACATTTTGTTTGGACTTTAATAGCAAAAAGTGTTGGCCTTTTAATTCTGTCAGGGCAGGTTTGCCCATGCTCATGCTCGTGTATTAAGTTTTATATAAGAGTTTTATATGACATTAAATAAACTAACATAACATAATAGTATAAATGAAGCAAGAGACGATAAAAGTTTTATGTTGATAAAACTTGTCTACACCGATTCCAACACATGACAGTCTTCAAAATTAGGAGATGAAACCCTATTGAAACTAGTCTAAATACTACTCCCTCCGTTCCAAATTATAAGTCGTTTTGATTTTTTTGTTCATCTATTTTACTATGTATCTAAACATATTATTATATTTAGAATTAGATGCATAACAAAATAAATGTATCAAAAAAATTAAAGCGATTGATAATTTGGAATGGAGGAAGTAGTACGTACAAGACGTGATTCGAAATTGCTATGGATGTCAATTGGCAATGCATGTGTGATGTCTGGATAAGGTTATGTTCTAAGCTTTTATATAAGCAGCAAAATGCTTGCAAAGAACCGACTTAAACATCACACTGAGGAATTCAGAAAAAGACCCATACCGATACGGCGATACCTTGCTTTATTGCGAGCCAAAACAGATGCGCTATTCAGTTCTACATCTTTTTTAAAGAAATGTGAAAATGTAGTTACAGATGTGAAAAAAGTCAATATCTCTCTGTCTTCCCACCAGAGCATTCATTTACAAAGTTCTTTAAAAGAAGAAAACCGATCGACCATTCTCCGTGGAAGATAAGTAAACATTTGACGAGCAAAAAAAAAACACGTGAGAAAGACCGAAAAACCAGTCATTGTCGGAGGAAAATCGGTAACCTAACCTACAGGAGTAGAAAATGAAGTAGGTCCAGGTATGATCAAGCTCTGTCGTGAGCCGGTGCTTGAACCGTGGTTGAGGCTGCCGATGCCTCTCACGTTAGCGAAAAGACCTCCCGGCCGCTAAAAATCAGACTAGGCTTGCGAGCCCGCCTTCCCTAATGAGAAAGAAAACTAGAACTGGCAAGCAATGGTTTATTGGGCAGCGAGGGAGGGTTTTTCCTTTAGAATTTAGGCATTATTTTGCCCCTTGCTTCCGAAAAAATAGTCAAGAAACACGGGGATTCACCGAGACAAACGGTTTTGAAAAGGGGATAGGCTATGCTTTTCTTTCATTTTTTTTTTCTGCCTGCTGAATAAAAAAAAAGGGTTGGATATAGCCTCGGATCATTTGGGACTTTCGAATTGTAAGGAATTCTGACCCCCGGATTTTCTCATAAATAAATGTACGAAATAAATCCAATTTTAATTTATAAGAAAAAATTCCAAAAAATTTGGTCGTACTCGTGTATAGGACAATTAAATACCAGAACCAAACATCGCTGACCCAAGGAGGGGAAACGGGGCTGTTTCTGGTTGCAAAGAACCGACTTAAACATCACACGGAACAATTCAGAAAAAGATCCATACCGATACGGCGATACCATCGTACTCGTCGTATATATACGACAATTAAATACCAGAACCGAACAATTCAGAAGAAGACCCATATCGTGTATACGACAATTAAATACCAGAACAGAGCCAACACATCCCAGACCCAAGGGGAAACGGGCCTGTTTCTGATTGCTTGGAGTTGGAGTTGGAGTTGGAGTGCGTACTGCGTAGGCCCGTCCGATCCGTGGCTCATCTCGGCATGGCCACACAAACCACGAATGGTCATCGTGCACCGCAGCGCGGCCTCCCCTTTCTATCTTCTCCACCTCCAAATGGCGCCACCGCGGCGGCCGGGTTATCTTGTCCAGACGTGCATCCTCCGTGTGATCCATTCCTCTCCGCGCCGCGATAGCTAGTTGCAAGCACCAGCTAACCACCAAACGTTAACGCACGCAGACAATTTCAACAGCATCAGGTTTAGGCCCTGCTGCCGTCGTTGAGCGCCACCTGAAAGCAATGGAGATCGTCGCCACGCGCTCCCCGGGCTGCTGCGCCGCCGTGTCCTTCTCCCAGTCGTACAGGCCTAAGGTACGTACGGCACCTTCATTTCGTGACCGTATGTAGTGGAAAGTAGCAGCAGCTCGTCGCACACGTGCACACAAGCTTTTAGTAATTTGCTGATGGCTGGCTGGCGCCACACATACGGCACAACGGCAGGCGTCCAGGCCGCCGACCACGTTCTACGGCGAGTCGGTGAGGGTGAACACGGCGCGCCCGCTCTCGGCGAGGCGGTCCAAGGCGGCCAGCCGCGCGGCGCTCAACACCCGGTGCGAGATCGGAGACAGCCTGGTGCGTGTCGTCAGTATAAGTTGTGTGCGTGCGTTGGGAGATCGATCGAGTTCAGGGCATGCGAAGAATGAAAGAAGCTGACGCTGCCGCATGCTGTGGGTTCGGTTTGTGGTGCGGTGTGGTGTGGCAGGAGGAGTTCCTGACCAAGGCGACGCCGGACAAGAACCTCGTCAGGCTGCTCATCTGCATGGGGGAGGCCATGAGGACGATCGCGTTCAAGGTCCGGACGGCGTCCTGCGGCGGCACGGCCTGCGTCAACTCCTTCGGCGACGAGCAGCTGGCCGTCGACATGCTCGCTAACAAGCTCCTCTTTGAGGTGTGAAACGAATGATCTCGCACTGAACTGTACGTCACGGTTCATTTCAATCCGCTCATGCCTGCTCTCTGGCTGCAGGCTTTGGAGTACTCCCATGTGTGCAAGTATGCGTGCTCTGAGGAAGTCCCCGAGCTGCAGGACATGGGTGGCCCAGTTGAAGGTACTGCCATTTCTCCTCCTCACTGTGCATGACCAAAGCTTCCACCGATTGTATTATCATGATAAAACTCAAATAGGAAAACAGAGATTTTGTATACTTAATTAGAGAGTTGCAGACCTTCAGTGCAGTGCTACTAGTCGGCCAGCATATGCTCCCTTGTGCATCTTCAGAGCACTGTAGAAATGTAACTGCTAATCAACAGCGGTATGCATTACCAAATTAGCATGCTGCCTGCTTTTATTCTAGTTTTAGATGCTTTGTGATCACCAAACTGCGACATGTCAAATGTGCCGATGGCTTTCAAGCCTTGCACCTCGCCGAAACAACTACGTCTACACAGTACACACATTCTTTTCGTTTCAGGATATGCAGAAAACCAATAGCTGAGGAATTAAAGCCTAGTATGCGATTTAGATCGGCCTGATTTTCATCACATCTCGCAGGTGGTTTCAGCGTTGCATTCGATCCCCTCGACGGCTCCAGCATTGTTGATACCAACTTCACCGTCGGAACCATCTTCGGAGTCTGGCCCGGCGACAAGCTGACCGGAGTCACCGGCGGCGACCAGGTCGCTGCCGCGATGGGCATCTACGGCCCTCGCACGACTTACATTGTCGCCCTCAAGGACTGCCCCGGGACACACGAGTTCCTCCTCCTTGACGAAGGTGCGCCTGAATTTTCAGTCACTGCCCACTGGGGCCTTGCAGAGCTGCAGTGTGCGATGTAGGAGCGTAGGTGTTGTTAATCGAGATATTCACAAATGTTGCAGGTAAATGGCAGCATGTCAAGGACACCACGACCATAGGGGAAGGGAAGATGTTCTCTCCTGGTAATTTGAGGGCAACATTCGACAATCCTGAGTACGACAAGGTACTCCGTTACTAACTACTGTTACTGTTAGCATTGTTTTTAAGTATCTGATACGACTTTCTGTGCCTAATCGGTGCTGTTATACATGTATCTTCAGCTCATCAACTACTACGTCAAGGAGAAGTACACATTGCGCTACACTGGAGGAATGGTTCCCGATGTCAATCAGGTATATATCACAAAATCTTTAGCTTGCTGCAACTCAAATTCACACCCTTTAGGCTATCTCCAGCAACAACGCCCAAAATACAAGACCCATTCGTCCTTTGGGTAGCGCTACAGGTAAAATGTTCAATACATATTTGACATCTTCACCAACAACAAGACCCAAAAGAGAATCCTTTCTGCAAATGAGTTTTCAGGAGAGAAGATGCCCATATTTGGGTTATGCCTCTCAGGCAACCCAAAATAGGTCTCCCGTATAGGTACTCTGTTGAGGCTAATTTTAGGTCTCTTGCTACCTATTTTGGGTTTGGGTGCCCATATGAGTTCTTTGTTGGAGACAGTCTTACAAACACACATAAAAATCCCGACACATCAAAACTCGTAAGGCCTTGTTTGGATGCGCATGTATTCATCTCAATCCACATCTGTTGAAGTGGATTGAAATGAACTAAACTAAATTTCATTTCATTCTACTCCAACACATGTAGATTGAGGTGGATACACGTACATCCAAACAAGACTAACTTAGATCAATATCACGTGTATGGTAATCTGAAATGCCACGACAGTAGCTAAGGAGTACACATTCAAAAACTGAACAGTGCCATGATTAACCTATCATGTCAATTCTACACCATGCACCAAACAGACAAATTTTCAGAGAGGGCAAGGCAAACTTTTGAGAACAAGATTTTGGTTTGGTGTTGCCAGTATATATGTCTCAGACTGTAGTGTTACTGCAAGCCCATGCTAGTGACTATTGAGCTGTACCAGCGTCTGCTTTAAGCAAGGCCACGCCAAGCAACACAGCAAAATTCCCCACAGTGACCCAACCTCGCTTTAGGTCCTTTCCGATACTACTTTCAGTATACAGAACTTGCGTGACCACCACCAGCATGCATGATGCCTGTGATCGATGACGCAGATCATAGTGAAGGAGAAGGGCATCTTCACCAACGTGACGTCCCCGACGGCGAAGGCCAAGCTGCGGCTCCTCTTCGAGGTGGCGCCTCTGGGCTTCTTGATGGAGAAGGCCGGCGGGCACAGCAGCGACGGCAAGCAGTCGGTGCTGGACAAGGTGATCAACGAGCTGGACGAGCGGACCCAGGTGGCTTATGGGTCCAAGAACGAGATCATCCGGTTCGAGGAGACCCTCTACGGTTCGTCCAGGCTCGCCGCCGGCGCCACCGTCGGCGCTGCCGTCTAAGTTTTTGCGCCGAGTGGCTCTGAATTACTAGAATCCAATCGGGTGATGCGTATACAGATAGGCTTGTAGATGTTGAGTATAAGTGAACTGACTGCCTCTCTCCATTAACTTAAGTTTTTGGATTGAATTGGTCGGTACAAATAAGTCAAATAATTATTGCCCACTCCTATTCCGCATCTAAGGTCCGAGGAAGGTTTCACGTGATGGGGAGTGTTAACTACAAGTGAATTGTCTAATGTCTATCTCTCCTCGTCAGTTTAAGCTTGGAGAACCATACAGCGAAGTAAATTTTTCATACGGTTGTACGTGCGTGCATGCATGCATCAATGCATGGCAACACTTGTGTCATCGGATGTCTGCATGTCTCATCTCTCAGTGGGCAATCTCCGGCCCTGCAGCCTTATTTCTTTTCGATGCTGTCTTGCATGGAATAGCACTGCAACAGAGTCCATGTCCCGGTCAGTGTTTCTGGCCATACTGGAACAGCACTCCATGTGCATGGAGTGGGCTGTCGAAGAGAAACGGTAGTACTACTAGAGCCGTAGGCCGTAGAGTACGTGTACGTCGATCCACAAAAGGCGCTTGGTTTGCGGCCCTGGACCTTGAGAGAACTACTAGACCACTAGACCAGCAAACAATCCACGATCCTGACTCAGGACCATCCCGTCCCGTTCCACGACCCTATTGCTCTTCTGAGAAGATGTTCCAGGGTCAGGGCTATGGAGGCATGATACGACGTGGCAAGGTCAGCTTGATACACGAGACTACAGTGCCGTTCATGGTATGGTCCGCTCCGGTCGGTACACGTACACAAGGACTGGTGCCCAAACAAAAGGTACACTGATTCACTGCAGCCTTGCCCAGATAGCCAGACCATCTCGATCCCTTCCATCGTGAACGACGCCCCAGGTTACCTTCCAAACGTACATTGTACTCCTACGACACTTGGCCTGTTGATTGCACAATCGATCGATCGTGGACGTCGAGTACACACACGCAGTCCGGTGCCCCTAGCCACGAGCCCAAGACAGGAAAACTAGCACCTGCAGTGCTGCAGTGTCGTGTTTAGGGCATGTTTAGAAAATGAACACCGTAGCACTTTTCGTTTATATTTAGTAAAAATTATTTAATTATGGGCTATTTAGGCTTAAAAGATTCGTCTCGTCAATTACGGACAAACTGTATAATTAGTTATTCTTTTTATCTATATTTAATGCTCCATGCATATGCCGCAAGATTCAATGTGACGAAAAATCTTGGAAAACTTTGGATTTTGGGTGGGATCTAAACGGGGTCTTAGTAGTGTATTCCGGTCGAATATGGTGACTTCGTCGTGAGGCTCCCCGAGTCTCTGACTCCCTGTCACGTGTCTATGACCGACAGCAAGCACATCTCCATGCAGCCGCGGGGGCATGGAGGCTACGTCCGCCAAAAAAAGCACGCGGTACATTCCATGGACGATGGAGGTGACCGGCCGCCGTCAGTGTCGTCGTCGCACTGCAAATGCAATTGAACAAACCAAGGCCGCGTTTAGTTCGGCACTGTAGCTTTTTGTTTTTATTTTGTAATAATTGTCCAATCGGTGATTAATTAGGCTCAAAACGTTCGTCTCGTAAAGTACAACTAAACTGTGTAATTAGTTTTTGATTTCGTCAACATATAGTACTCCATGCATGTATCGTAAGTTTGATGTGACGGAAAATCTTTTTTTTTATATAGTGTCAAATTCTAGAATTTAGGACAACTTAACCAGCCAAAAAAAAAAAGGACCAAAAGAGGACGACGAGGCTGTGCGCGGTAGAGTGGTAGGGGCAGAGGGAGACACCGCCAGGCACGGTACCACGCCTGCGCCTCGTGTTCTCCCGGTCCGCGAGATGCACCGGGTACCCGCCCGCGGCAGTGCCGGCGATGTGATCCCGGCGACGCGACGCCCGGACTGCCGACTGCCGAGGCGGGCCGCCCGGTCCGCGTCCTGTCCGGCCCGTCCCGCTTTATTTGACACCCCCAGGCGCTGGAGTAGGCCTCGTGCTTGCTGCCGCGCTGCCATCATGCGTGCGGTCTGCGGTGCGATTCCACAGCGATTTGGCCGTGACCGGTGCGTGCAGGCTGCAGCGCGGTCGTTTTTACCGGCCTCCGGCACCGGCAGGCTCTCAGCAGGGCTTGTTTGGTTCAGCCAGGCCAGCCATCAGTCTGATAATGACTTGGGTTTGCTCTGGTGCCTGGTTTACAGGTGGCTCGTTGCTATTTGGCCGCCCGCATGATTAATGATTTAGTTCCATCCTGGTTCCTGAGGGCGTGATCGCTGAGATGGCTGATTGCTTGGGTCAGCTTATGACGAGTACTCGTCGTAACTGTGTTGTGGTGATGCGTGGTCGCCGAATCTCCTGAGATAATGATGACTGTGTATAACAAGTAGTAGAGATTTGTGTGGTGCCAATGATTCCATCTCAAAGCACATCTGACAAATTTACCCATCGCTAATGATCGGCAGTTAAGTTCTTGATTGCCTAATTTTACAAAGGTATTTCATATTTGCCAGTTGGTTGGACGAGAAAGAAAACAATGCCAATCAGTTGGTGGACATGAACATCGGTCTGAACTCTGAAGCAGGCACAACACTACCCCACAGTCCAGATGCGCCTGTAGCCGAGCGACACACGTTCAGAATACAAATGGATCCGCGCGGTGGCCCGGCCCAAGAACGCCTGTGTGCTGCTTGCTGCCACGGCCGGCCGGTGGGCACCGCTGCCGCGCGACGCAAGACCAGCAACAGCAGCTCCAGACACAGGAATGCGGGAGGAGCCGCCTTTAACGGTTTCCGAGGCGGCGGCAAGCACGACCTCCTTTAAGGACCAATCACGTGCAGTGGACGGGCCCGAGCCTAGTACCACTGGTGTCGGAGCCGCGTGAGGTGTGTGGCCATGGCCGTGCTCGCCTCGCCCTTGTCAAACCTCTCGGCTAGTGTTGTTGTGCGCGTGGGAAGGGAAGGAATTCCCCACGGTCCAAAAGAGCAAGCGAGTGTGACCGGCGGCAGGGCCCGCACGGTTGACACAAAGTGATCCTGGTGTCTGGAGCTCTGGATAGAGAGGCCCGACGACGGAATTAGAATCTGTTTCCCTCGTGAAATTGACGACAAAGTCACGGTCATATATAAATAATATGCTGATGGTACTACAATGATAATAGCTCACGGAGAAAACCCTCGTGACTGGACATGCGAGACGATGAGAGATACTGGCGGCACATAAGAGGAAATTATGAGACGAGATGCGTGTTATCCAATCCCCCCAAAATGAACAAAAACAACAGATTACATTACAATACACGAAGATTTATGGCTATAACCCCAGACACTCCTTGAACGGCGGCGGAGGAACATGCAGATTGGCAGAGGAACCTGGACTGACGCCGTAGCTTGCCTAGTACAGGCGGAGCACGCTGCGCGGGAACGACCGCGTCGCCAGCGGCCGCCCGGGCCCGGCCTTGCTCGGCAGGCCTCCGCCTCCGCTTCCGCGCGGCCGCCCGCTGCCGCTCCGCATCGGCGTCAGGTAGAACCGCAGCATGCCGTTGTCCGGGGCGGCGCGCCCGGGCGAGTAGCGCGCGCTGCGGTTCCGCTCCACCTGCGCCTGCGCGTGCGGCTCCTCCCTCCGCCTCACGTGGCCGTTGGCGTCCACGTAGCTGCGCCTGGAGCTGCCGAGCCCGCCGCTGTTGCTGCTGAACGAGCTGCGCGCGCTCAGGTTGCTGTTGCACCGCTGCATCTTGGGGTTGGCTCCGCGGACGCGCAGGTCCGGCCACGGCTCGGAGAACGAGCGGTCGGCGATGTCGGACGGTTCCCCGCTCCTGCGCCCGGCGGCGCGCCGGTGGATGAGCCCCCAGAGGCTCCACGCCTTGCGCCACCGGCGCGGCTTCTTGACGGGACCGGACAGTGCCGCCTCCAGGCTCGCGGAGATGTCCTCGATGAGCGAGTTGGAGCTGAAGCCGCAGTCCAGCAGGTCCTCCGCGTGGTGGAAGTGGTAGAACTCGGAACCGCCGATTGGGGACTCCCTCCCAATCCCATTCACCGCCGACGGCATCGGCCTTGGATCCGTGACCTCGAAGGACGGCCTGCGTACGGAGCTTGAACGCTCTAGGCTCCGGCGCCTGCTGCTGGAGGAGTCCAGGTAGTAGTCTCTGGTCTGCAAGGACCCACCTGGCGGCTCGGGGTCAAAGTCGTCTTCGACCGGGATTTGGCCATCGGAGCGCTCGACGATGTCGATCGGTGTGTCCTCCAGGACGGACAGGATGGGAGGGAGGCGGGACAGCGGCGGAGGCGCGCGCCCGAGACCAATGCCGGCGCCGGCGCCGAACAGGTACCCGTCCCAGGACGCGCGGGGCTCGTCCCATGAGAAGCCGGCGTCGTCGATGGACATGCGCGCCGCGTCCAGGGAGAAACGCGGGTCGGTGTCGCACGAGCGCCGGCCACCGGCGAGCTCGGAGCCTGCCTCCCCACGGAAGCGACTCCGGCGAAGGAACGATGGCTTGGAGGGCTTCACCGGAGGAGGCATTGCCGCTGCCGCGGCCTTGCTCACGGCAGCCTCCTTCTTGAGCTTCTGCTTGCGCCGCCACTTCTGCCACTTCTTGCTGAACACGGAGGCGGCGACCCAGAAGCTTCCGGCGATCTCCTTCAGGTCTTTGGGCGAAGCCTTCTTGGTCTGCGCCGACTCGAGATCGATGTGATCCTTGATGGCCTTACCTCCCTGTGCCACATTGCCTTCGGCTTCCACCTCGCCGGAAATGTCCATCGGGACGACGACGGGGTCTTCCTCGACCACCGGGACTATCTCGTCGGGCTCCATGACCACTGGGATGTCCTCGTCCAAGAAATCGTCAGGGATGCACGGTGCCTGCGGTGGGGGATGTACGTCGACGGCGAGGGCAGCCGCGGCGGTCGATGAGGAGGCCGGGAACGCGCCGAACGCCGTGCCGTCGCGGACGCGGTCACGGTCGTCCTGATGGAACAGCGCCCACAGCGTGCTGCGCCCCCGCACGTCACACGAACGCCGCTGCGGCTCGTCCGCCCTGGCGGCAGCCGCCGCCGCCGCTGCCGCTGCGGCCAGAGCGTCCCCGCCGCGGCCGCACGAGAACGACTTGCACCGCCGGAGGTCCGGCGGCTCGGCGGGGCCGGACGCAGACGAGCTGCCGGCGGCGAACGGCCTGGCGAAGAGCGACCGGATGGCGGATGTGGACTTACGCCCCGGCGCAGATGCCGCGGCGGCGGACGCCTCGAGACCCTGGAGGCGCTCGCGCAGGCACGCGGCGCAGAAGCCGGTGAACGCCTCGCCCGGGTGCAGGTCGCAGCTGGTCGACACCGACCGCCGCGCGGGCGGCGCCGGCGGGTCCATGTGCAGCGTCGTCATCGCCCCCCGGGCGTCACTCCCCCCGCCCCCACACCCACACCCCCCGACGTCACTATGCGGCTAGTACAGTTGCACCATTGCACTCGTGCTGCTGCGTGAGGAGGGAGTTGCCGGTGCGCCAGGCCTCGCGTTAAGTAGAAGAGGCGTGTATCGGACAGGGTAAAAGGGTGAAAAAGAGTGAGGAGAGAGAGAGAGGAGAGTGAAAGTTAAAGGCGAATCACGGGCCCCGGCGCGGCCAGGCCTCTTGGCTCTTGCTCTCCTCTCCTCTCCCTCTCCCTCTCCCTCCTCCTCGCCTGAGTCTGCTTCCTCTCTCTCTCTCTCTCCTCCTTTTGCTTTGTATAGCTCTGGCCGCCGTTCTTGGGTTCGTGGCTACGCCTACGCGTTCGCAAATGCGATGGTGAGGCGATTTGCCCTGACGGCTGTTGCTCGAGACCAAGCTAACGCGGAGTAACATGAGTTTGATGACCTTGCAACCTCACTGACACAAGTGGCATTTCGTCATATTTAGCTGGTTTACCCTTATTACTCCTACATGCCTAGCTCCATTTTCTTATTGAGCCACTATTGTCAGAGGTATATGAACGAGTCGATGATGCCAGACTTCCAGAGACACTGAGACAGTGAACACACCTGAGGATCATGCAGACCAAATTAGTTAGTTGCACTCATATCAAAATCGGAGCTGAAGCGCTATTCTTATCAGAAAAAAAATACAGAATTGCAACTGATTTGCAGACACCTAGTTCCACAGAGTACAGCTTTAGTATATGCACTGCAGTCATCACTACTACATGATCGAATTTGCGCGACGTCGCCCGGGTGGCCTCCGTGGGGGGCATCTTTTTGCCTGCCACGGTTAATACCTGTCGATTTACGAAGGTGGGCGTTTTTTATTTTCTGAGACGGGCACTTTTGCCCGCCACGGTAAATCGATTTACCGTGGCGGGCATCCTATATGGCCCGCCTCGGAAAAGGCCCAAGCCCAAAATCCCCAGCAAGGCCCAATTTTAACCTTGAACTATATATATGAGGAGTTAGGGTTTTCTACCCCACTCCTCTGTCTCTCTCTTCCTCCACCGGTCGGCCCGACCTCCTCTCCGTTCCACGCGACTAAGTCCGAGGTGAGGCGACCTCCCCACTCCCCACTCCGCGCGAGACCGAGGCAGTCTCCTCTCCACTCCGTCGTCACCACCTCTCCACTCCTCTCCCGACGCGACATCCACCGGGTGGCGCTGGGACATGGGGGCGTGTCGGCCTGGCTTGGGACTGGCTCCCTTCCCTCGCTGGTGACGCGACATCCACCGGCGGCGCGCCCTGGTCTCCTCTCTCTCCCTCGTGCGGATCGGGCCCCCTTCTTCCTCCCTGGCCGAATCTGGTGGGAGGCGGCCTCCCCATCCCTCCCTGACGACGGCGACGGGCGGTTCTAGGTGGAGGGCTGCCGGATCCTATAGGAGGGCGGCCGGATCCGACGGATCCCGGCCGGATCCAGTGAATGCCGCGACGGTGGCGCTGCCAAAGCAGGTACATGTCTCTCTTTGTCTCCCTCGCTCTTCTCTCTTCGTCTCCCTCACTGTGCCCTCTCCCTTTCCCAGATCTAGAGCCAAGCACGGACGTCGGAGCTGCTGTGTGGCGTGGCGCGCGGCGCTTGCTTGTTGCTCGGCGCTTTCCTCCTTCCGGCCTCATCTTGGCAATGGCCAGCTGCAGAGCGGTCTGCTGTTGGATCGAGGGACGACGACGATGGCGGCGCTAGGGTTTCGGTTTTGGATTGGGCTCGCCGGTGGGCTCAGTCAATGGGCTCGCCGGTGGGCTTTGGGTTTTTTTTTGTTTTTTCCAAACGATTAATCGAGGCGGTCGGTGTAACGTGCCCGCCGTGGTAAAAGTATATTTATCGCGGCTGAAACATCCTCAATTTTCCGCGAAGGGAAAATCCACATAATGAATTATAATATGATGAAACCAATGGTTGATTTTATCATATTATCATATATCAGTCGATATCACAGTCATATATCGTAAGATTACAAGAATACAAGATATTACATCACTGGGGAATACACCTATTACAGAGTTAATTTAGCAGAAGACTATCGAGTGAAGGCTTCTCCTTCACAAGTCGTCATCAGAGTTGGCGTAGTGCAGCGTAGATTCCATCTCCGAACCAAACTTGAACGTAGGCACGAGACCTCCTAATCCTTCTATAGTCAGCATCTCTAAGAAGCAGGAAATCTGCACACCACCAGATGTGTGCAGGCCATGGTCAGCACCGATGAGCTTTAGTGGAAAAGATAAAACAAGAGGATCTGGCGATCCTAACATTTGGCTGTGGTTTGCATCCTTAGCGCATGAGAAGTAAGTAACAGTAGTAATGTAATAATAATGTCTAGTTTTTAATACATTCTCCAGCCACACACATCCACATCCATCCATATCCATCCACCAACCATCCATCCCAAACCATCTCCACACCACCACACCTTATCTCATCTCACACACTAAGGTCGATAGGCTAACTCCCTCTCGGCCTTGTCTCAACGACCTGCAGCCCCAAGGCTCACGACCAGAAAATACCCCATCCCTGGAGGGAGAAAAGAAGGACTCATCTCCTATCTAGTTTAAGCGAAACCCAGGAAAGGTCCATAGCCGACAAGTCGGCATATGTATCGATCGATCAACCAAACACTCTGCAGAGGTTTTACATACCCACAAGATTAGCCATCCTTGGAGTCTTGCTCTCCTAGGTAGAATTCCGGTCGCTTGCTAGCCTAGAACGATGCCACCCTACCTCTCAGCCCTGGAACATCCCAAGTCTAGTCTGGGATGGCTGATACTGTGAGTCATAGATAGAGTCGGGACCCACCGGATGTCAAGAGCCGGTCCACAAGGCCTCCTGAAGTCTCGGAAGGGTGTGGGGGGAAAACCGCGCACCCCGTACCTCCTTGCACACGTTCGCCTAGCAGTAGTGGCATCGCTCTACCAAGTAGTCCGACCGTCCCGCACCATATAGCATGAGTGAGATGTAAAGGATTCCTGGTGAGTCTGAGTACTAGTAAGTCCTTAGGGATGACCAAGCCAGAATGTCTTCATCAGGGTTTCTATTTTACGTGCCACCACAGCACCTCTACCCCGGGCTCCACCTCTCCGAGGTTCACACCCAAGGCCACCTCCAATTACCATTTACCCGCCACAGGTATTCCATATCCAAGTGCCCAGGTAGCACCACATGGCAAGACTCGCCCTAGGCTCGTCGTTATTCCAGCTCGGTCGACACAACCCTCACTCTCCACACACCCAAGACACACGCAGCACGCTCACACACCACCAAGTCCGGCACCCGTAGCCAAACCATTCCCAGGAGGTGCACCACCAGCATCACATCCCCGATATAATGCGAAGTGGAGTTAATAATAAGTATAGTGGTGTAATATGCAAGCAAGCAGGCAAGTAAGCATATAAAGCGAGCGAATGCGCAAAGCAGGGTGACGTGGTAGAGTGGGTTGCATCAGGGTAATAATGGCTCAGGTAGTAGCATGCATCAAAGTTCTACCAAAGGAATAATTATAAAGCGCTAGCAGTTCTAGATATTATGCAATGTCTAATAGGATTCTCTAAAAGAGGGTGCTGCCATGACACCTGCGATGTAGAGGTAGTAGTGGTACAATTCTCCATTCGTTGGTGTTCCATTAGCGGGGTCACCTCCTCCTGTGTTGACTCCATTCCGCAGTCCTTGTCGTCGTCCTCGTTTTCTTGGTCCGATCGTCAGCTACTCCACGAAGCGACACGCAAGGCAAGAGAACACTCAACACTCGAATCGACGACAAGACGCAGGAAAATCCAATAACACCAGTGAGGCAATAAGAGATACATGGCTTAGCCCTCTCGACGGTTGTCCGATTTCCTCGGGCCAAGGAAACACGAGTGGTGGTATGCTGAGCACAAGCGTAAGTCATGGCCAAGCCAGTATGGCTTTACGATAAATGATTTAAGCCAAAGCTTGTCCAGAGAAAACACCATGGCTCACGATCTTTCGATCCGGTGTTATTGGGTTGACGGGGATTGGAAATCGGGCCCCAAGAAAGAAGAACGACGGGGTTCGGCTCTTGTAACCTTATCCCGCAAGTCACAACTGGACACAAGTAGCAAACAAGAACGAATAACACTATTGTGACTTGGCTCCAATGTACTTTGGTTCACCCGCTATGGTAGGAAGCGGTAGCGCAAAGAGGTTGGATAGCGATGGGTCCTCTCGATCCACACGACACATCAACGTCGGGAGCTGAGGAGATAGTCGTTCAACACGGCAAAAGCAGCGGGGTTAGCTCGGTATGTCCATGTTATGTTCCTAGACACATCTTCGGGGAAGATGGTTTTTAGACGGTCGATCGGGTCAACACGCACGGGTCCAAGGTACGACATAGACCATTGCTTCGCTAACAAAAGGGAATAGTCTGGTCTTTGATCCAATCGTTACGGGCAAGACGGGATCGAACAGAGCGGGCTATCGGTGCAACAAGAGCAAGAATAACAAGGGACAAGGTCTACTTCTTCCAATACTCGCGCCACAACGAAAGATGGGGCATCGGAAGGGGCGACACTCAAGAACACCAAGTGCTTAAACCACTCATAGGGTACCCGACCTGGGTGCACTGACACTAAGATATCTCTCGAATTCGAAGCGGTGCGGTTGTCACCGCGAGAATCAGAGAAACGTGATGGTCAAACGGGGTACAAGCATACAAGGGCTTGAGCACGAAGAAGCAACTAAAAGCGAAAGAGAGGCGTAGCTCCATGGTCATGGCGAGGTGAACTCACGGCCACAAGCTATGCCAACGAGTTGGCATCCATCATTCCACGATTGTTTACTCCCAGGTTATCTCCCACAGAACTTGGTCACGAAGGGCTCAACATGTGCGGGTAATATCCGCATCGATATCGCCATCGATATTGAATCCATCATGACCATGTTCTAGGGCCGAAGACGGGTGCTAACACTCGTGGTACTA